TAGCCACCAAGATTCACTTATTTAGATCTTGCCTTTTTTCTCCTTCTCTCTCTGAAACTAATGGCAGAAATCTTGAGGATATGCAAATAAGCTTGCAAACATGTCCTTCCTTCTCTCCAACTATTTCTACTTAGGTGTTAAGGCCTTGTTCAACTAAAAGATTTCAGTAGGCATTTTCCAACTTGAGACTTAAAAGCCTTTATTTTTTCCAACCTTGCATTATTTTTTAAAAATATTTGTTATTAACAAATAGCTTAAATTATATCCTGGTGGCAGACAAAGGCTAAATATATGATTGTCCTGAAACAGTACTCTAGAAAAAACTGTAGCTATATACTGTCCTGAAATTTATAAGTGGCAACCAGAGACTTTCTTGACAATTTATCATGTTACAAGAGGAAAAAGAAAAGAAAAGCACAAATACAGTTTTAATATACAAAACCAAATGTGCATCATAATGTCAGCATTTTTGAAGAATATAGTTTTGTGATTAACTTACTTAGAATTTTAGCGAAGAAATGTTTCTACAATAATTATATACATAACCAAATCAGTGGTAGTGGTTTTGATGGTTATTCTTGATATTTAAGTTTATCAGATGAAGACCCATATAGCAGTTTTAAGAAGACAATGAAGAACAATAACAGTAGGTAAAGCAGGCTCCAGGGTAGACAACAGAGGTGTAGCTTGGAGTACTCTATGAGATATCCTTGCAACTTCCTTTCTGCATAGTAGTTCCCTTGCTCTATTTCCTGGCTACCCTGAGCTGACCTTAGCCCCTCCCAAACATTTCCTCCTGGATGTTTCTGGCATGGAGAGAGCCTATCATGCCCTGAGTCCTTTGTAATCATGAGCCACAATAAATCTCTTCTTAAGTAGTGGGAGTTGGGTATAATGTTTCAGACATGCAAGAGCCAACTAACATAATCACATATTCTAATTTTTAAACGTTAGCTATTGCCATCATCTGTTGAGAACAAAACAAAAAAGAGGCAGAAGCTAAGTTGTTAAATGCACACAGTTCAGTTTTAACACATCTCATGATTCTAGTCATGTAGGGATGAGAGTGGAGGCAGAGACAAATGGAGAGATTATGAATTAGATAAGAGAGACTAGGAAAACAGAGCCTTCCACCTGTGCATCCTTGGCTCGCAGCACCACAGAGCAAATCTGAAAGCCACAGCCTCGCTTTGAATTCAGGTTGAGTGGCAAACTTGACAGCACATTAATAATCTGAAAATGGCTTGAGAAACTATTACCTGATGTGATTTTTATTGGCCCTTTCTGGGTTAGTTCACATATTGTTGAGGTGGTCTGATGAAATCACTAATTGAATATGACATTTCTATAAAATGCTATTAAAATATTACAGTGCATATTGCGAGACGGATTGGGTATGCATGTTCTGATATGCCGAATGATAAATAAAAGGGCTATCAAAAATAACTTGGTGTTTCATGAGATTCAAACTTTCTAACTGAAACAGATCCTTTGACAGAACTAAATAATAAGGCAACAGAATTTACTCATTCAAGTAATCTCTACACTTAAATCTGAACTCGCCCCTGAAAATCTCTTCCAATGAAAATGTTTCCTGTGAGTGAATATGCAGGGAAATATAGGTATAATCCAGAGGAGAAGCAAAATGATTGCCT